AAAAAAAATAGAGGAAAAACCCTAAGGGGACTATCCATGTCAAAGGACTTTTTCTGCAATAAATCGCTAAAGATAATGCGCTCTGTACGCTTCGAACACAATGCGCTCTACAAATCACATTATTGTAAGGTCACTGAACGAAATAGATTTGGACGCTGATTAAGTAGAAAAAACTCCGAAAGTCCTTGGTTGAATATGACGTTCGTTCGTGCTCGACCAGTGTAACTTTTTCTTTGCATGACAAAATCTTGCCGCATTGAGTACGGATTGAACTAAAGAATCATACAAAAGACGGCATAGAATATGGATTAAACTTCTTTTGTTGGAAGCATGCTAGGCTTCTTATTTTGCTAGGCTTTTAGCTTGCTAAGATTAATTTCTCTTAAGTCATGGAGTGACATAGGAAATGAAAGGATATGCATGAAATTAGCGATATTTGCTTTATAAGATTTGAGAGCTCATAAAAATGTCGAAACCCTTGTTTTATATAGAGTCAGAGACAAACATGGGCGGTTCTCGCGCAGAATAAGCTGCCCCACTATTTAAATATTTTATTTAATTATCGTTATAAAAATGCCAATAAAGATTCTCTACCAGCAGGCTCTTCTAGATACCTAGTGATAAAAATACAAAAAAAGTTAGAAATTTTCATTACTGAGAACACTGAGAAAGTATAAGAATTCGATTTTTGTGCGAGTTATTTCCGTTTTTTAGAAAGAGTGAGGCTGTACTTGGGAAATTGAGCCAAGCAATGCACCTCAAATCAAAGGAAATTCATAACAATAATCAGTTGAACAAAAAAATCCAAAGTATACCTGATACAGCCGGAACCTGTACCACTTCTGTGGTCTCTTTGATGTCGCTGAAGTGGCTGTCGATATCTGCAAAAAATGTATCTGGCAAAAACCCATGTCAGCGATTTTTCAAAAAGATTTTTCTTTAAGAACAAAAAACCACATTTTACTTATTATAGGACTTACCAGGACAATCTCCCCAGTAGATGCACTGTCCTTCATGGCGCACATAGTTGTCAGCACAAGTGCAAGCGGATTTTTCACAAGTGGCCGGGCAAGGGGCCGTGTCGTACATATTGGCACAGCTTGGCTCACATGCTGTTCCACATTTGGCCCAAGTCGAGTTTGTTGGGCAAGATGGTTCAGCCTAAATAAAATCAGATAGCTCCAGTGCGTTCCATATTGCTAATGGAAACGGACTTTTTTGCACCATATGGTGTACCATACCTGTACCGTATGCTACCGTAACCTCAACTGTTACTTAGCAAATCCTAGTATCTGTCGCGTTTTGGGTGAATAAAATGCCCCATTCGCGTGCAATCACATCACAGCAAAGAAAAACGCAACTAATTTGTAAGCAGCACCAGATTACGGTAGCATACTGTATTGTGCAAAAGGGCCGCCTCTCAATAGCTTACCTCCTTGTCACAGAACTCAAATGGAACGCAAACTTCCTCGTCGTTAGTCATACGAACGTAGCCTTCCTTCAAATAACTCTACTTTCTGTGAGTATTCCAAAATTTTTAGTTTTAAAATTTACCTTGCAGATGCATCGCGGTGTGCCGCACGATCGCGGGCAATTAGGAATCGTTTCAGGGAATCTCGTCCAATCGCACGATGGTTCACAATCTCTAGATGTCTCTGGACACTTTGACCATTGTTCATTCGGACCACATTCTTCACCTGAAGACTTAGTATTTCTTGTTTCCCTCATAGTGAGTAAAAGTACTTACCGCTAGAGGCATTTGTGGATGCTGTCGATGTAAAGACCGAAGAAGATATGGCGAAAATTTCTGAGCTTTTTACACTTTCTGTAACTTCCGCACTGGTTGATGTCTTTGCCGTAGTGGTGGGTCTTGTCACTTCGACTCGCTGTAGGGTAGTTTGGCCCACAGTTGTGTCAGCTGAAAGGACTAACAGACTTTGTGTAATAAAAATATGAAAACATCTGAGCCATTTTCTCATGGAAGATTTTTCCAAGCTGTAGCAAAATTCCAGGGGCAAAAGTCTAGAGTAGAAGTACCTGATGTTTCCACTTTTGGCTCATCACGAGGACATTCGTAGTCTTGTGG